GTGTTCTGTCACTGAGGAAATCATAGGAAGAGAAGATGAGGCCTCTTCATCGGTTGTGGGTGGTGGACAAGATGAATTTGATGGTTTTGGGGACTTATTCAATGAGCCGGAGGTTGCTGCAGGGCCCACTGCAAGGCCCTCTGTTGGCGAGGGAGGAACAGAAACTGGTTTCGTAGCTAGCGAATCTGATCCAGATGAAGTTGATGATAGTGATTCTCCAGTGTCTGTTGAGAGTTGTTTGGCTCATTTCATAAAGCCTGAGCTTCTTGCCAATGAAAATGCTTGGCATTGTGAGAACTGTTCCAGAACTCTTCAACGCCAAAGGTTGGAAGTAAAGAAGCAGGTAAAATCTTCAGCTCAAATTTTGATAAATGGATGTGAGACTAGAGCGGAAAGTGATTCACTGAGTTTAAATATGGGCCTGTGCCCTGCTGATGTCAGAAATCTTAGTAATGGGAATTTGAATAGCAGTACTGGTTGTAATCATTTTGGTGAAGACTTGCATGATGGGAAAATAAATTGCTCATCAATTGAGAATGGTCGATCAGATAAGCTGAATGCTGCTGTTCGTCAACAAGAAGAAGGAAACAACGAGATGAAAGATGCACTTCCAGTGCAATCAAATACTTCAGATTGCAATAACACTTGCAGTCGAGAAAGTTACATTGATCAAGCAATTGAGTCTTGTGCTGACGAGCCTAGAACTGCAGGATGTACCTCTGACAATGTTCCACAGACTTATTCTGGGATATTAGATGGTAAACATGAATCAGAAGAAAGTGAAGACGAGGAAATAAATTCCAAATGTGTGAAGGTGAAGAGGGATGCGACTAAAAGGGTCCTCGCCGCTTAAGTAAATTGAATGGCCATGTCAGTTTCAGAGAAAAAATTGATCTTAGACCATATATGGATTCCAGGTATATATCTTACTTTTTTTAGAGTTTATTTCAGATTACAAAATGCCAGATCAAAACGTTACTGCTTGTCATGAGTCTGTTTTAGCCAGATCTTGGAATAAGCATTCAAAATGAGAGGATAGCTCTTTTATACCATCTTTAAGAAAAATTTGCATTAGTTTTCACTTTTCAATACACCAGCTTTTGATCTCTAATCACTTTTACTGGAGGGGTGGTGGGACTTGGTTGGGCAGATCATTAGTCTCCTCACAAACTTTGAAATTTTAATAAATATGATGTATTCAAGGTGCTTGTTGTAGTCTGACGTGCAATTAATGTTAGTGGCTGAGGAAGTATGGGGAGACGAGCAAACTAACAGTTTGAAGTCTCTAGAGTCTGATAAATTTAATTATCACTCTTCCACCTTGGGCTGCACTAAGCAAAGTGAATCTTTGGAACCATATCTTTGAGAGAGGGCTGTAGTGATTCACTTCATAGGTTAAATACCAAATTACCTCATCTTGTCAGCCAGTTATGTTTTTCTCTTGCCTAAATGTTATCGAACTACACATTCTTGTCTCTTTACTTACCTACGCACAAAGATCCATTGCTTTTCTATCTCAAGGACTGAACATAGTGGTGAAGTTTTTCACCAAAGGAAGAAGCTATAAGTCTAAGATGCTTGTTCTAAACACCATGTTGAATGCTTGAGGACTTGACACTTGGGTTCCCCATTCTCTAACACTTTATACAGTTATTAGATTTTGTCAAGAAGCTTGTATAGAACTCTCAAGAATATTTTACCATTTATGCTTTTTCATGAAAAAAGTAAACTTTTTCATAGATAGAAATCTGAAGAAAGAATATTACCAAAACATTAATAAATTAGTATGTCTGATTTAAGAAATGGCAAGGGCAAGCATATTGTTTTATCCCCAAGGCAGAAGTTTTGGGGTTGCTATGTTCAGTTCCTTTTGTTTGTGTATATACGTGTTGCAACGTGGTGGTTGTGTCTGTGTCCATAGTTACTTTGTTAGATGATATGAGGAGGCTTGCCTTTCAAGTTTGAAGCTTAGAGCTACTTTGCTAACTTTAATAATTTACGAGCTAAGTTGCAGGATGTTTTAATGTTTACAGAACCTGCCTTCTTTAAAAGAAAGATTTTGAAATTTGAGTTTGCATATATCTACTTTTGTGAGTTATGTCATCAAATTTCCCTTTACAATGTTACCTTGAGTAATAAATGCGATACTGACTGCAATTCCCCATAGCTTTAGCTGATCTTTCAACTACCGATCTCTTTCTGGTCAAGTTTTTTTTTTCCTTCATCTAAAGGTTAAAATCTCTACTTATAGTTGTCCCTTTTGCCTTGTCTGTTAATTCCAGTTTCATGGCAACTTATTCATTGTTTTGTACTTGCTTTAGTCTTAAGGATCCTGCAACTTCTTATTTATTTAATTGATTGTGTGCCATTTCTTATAAAATAAAAACAATGACATATTTATTAGTTTGTACGTATTCATTTGGTGACACTTCTTTAGGAGCTATTTTATTGAGTTATGAATCTATGATGCATGTCCAGAAGTTTTGCCCCTGTTAATTTTGATTTCTATTTTTATCTTTTTCATAATTTTGTCCTTCAACTAACATAATCAGACTGTAAGAAATTAAGCAAGAATAATGCTAAAGAGTTTTGGAATCATTTCAACTAACATAATCACAGACTGTAAGAAATTAAGCAACAATAATGCTAAAGAGTTTTGGAATCATAGTGTTATAACACATTCAACCTTTAGGAACTGTCCCTTTTCATTGGTTTTTGTACTTGTTTAAGCTTTTCTGAATTTATGTTCCGTTGTGTTGTTTTACTCATATAGTTTCTTTGGATGCCATATGAAAATGGAATCAGTCAGTAATTCTGTATATAATTGGAGCATCATAATTTGATTCACATGTTTGAAAGGATTCATTCAGTTATGCAAACTATTACAATTTGCTTCTTATTCCCTAAAGCCAATTTATGGGTGAACTTTTTTGTGCAATTATCAGAATGTAGAAGATATCTACAATGCATCTATTAACTCACTATCAAGCCTTATTTTTATGTCTGTAGTTACTTGTGCTTCACATAGTACTTATTTTGTTCCTAGTTTGTGTAGTGGTTTGCACAGAATTAATTGGTAGCATACATTACAAGTTACATTTTTCCATTGGAAGTGCATTAACTTTTTGGCTATGATGTCCTCTTGAGCTTTACAGGTCCACAGATGGAGAGAAGTATGAATACCGCCTAATTGGGGTTGTGGAGCATTCTGGGACGATGAGAGGGGGCCACTATGTTGCATATGTGAGAGGGGGTGAAAGGAGCAGAGGAAAAGCTGAGAAAGAAAATAATGGGAATGTGTGGTATTATGCTAGTGATGCACATGTGCGTCAAGTTTCCCTAGATGAGGTTCTTCACTGTGAGGCCTATATCTTATTCTATGAAAAAAGTTGAGGTTGTTTCTACCTTCAACTTGATGTCTTTAAAGTTTGAGGTCAGGGCCTTCATACTAGCCGAGCTTCCCCAACGTGTGTGTGTGTGTGTGTGTGTGTGTGTGTGTGTGTGTGTGTGTGTGTGTGTGTGTGTGTGTGTGTGTGTGTGTGTGTGTGTGTGTGTGTGTGTGTGTGTGTGTGTGTGTGTGAGAGAGAGAGAGAGAGAGAGAGAGAGAGAGAGAGATACAGAGAGAGACAGAGACAGAGAGAGAGACAGAGACAGACAGAGAGACAGGAAAACCAGAGTTGAGTGTACAACTCCAATTACCATGTGTTTTGATACCCCATTCTTTCAAGATGTAATGATCTTTTAGATGTATACTGTTAGTTATAGCATCAGAAAACGGGTTTTCTTTTTATAGTCCCATCACCCCAGGGACCATGGCTGCATCAATTACTGAAGCTTTTTAAGTTACCGTTTTTTTTATATTAAGAATCCCTTTTAGGCAAGAAGCATTGCATATTAAATGATCCAGGCTTCATTGCGAGCACGACTTGTTTCGGCTCCAGAGAGGTTGGTGCATGCGTTATATTATGTACTAGAATCTGGTTGACAATATTGTCGGCCTGCAATTTTCCTCATGCAAGTGCCTTTCGACAAGGGAGATGTATTTACAGTTTAAGTTTCACTTTCAATCTGAATGACGACCTTTTATGGATTTCTTTGTTGCAGTTGGGCCTTTGGCCCAAATATGTTCTCTTATTAGAGACGCCTTTCCACTGGGACTGAGTCCATTGCAAGCACTTCTGCTCATAATGCTTTTTCTATAATTGCTTCTTTCAAAGAACGCTGAAGGATTTTATATAAAAAAAAAAATTCAAGTGTTCCCTGAAAAAGCACTTAGAAGTGATTCTTAAAAAAGAGGAGGCTTCTCTACAAGTGCTAGGGTAAAGGCAATGTACATGGAGCAGAAAAATTGAAATGAAGAGAATCGTTCTCGAAAATGATTTTTCTATAACTCCTTATCTATCGCTATAGTTTCCTCGAATCTAGCAAAATTGGCCACTAATCGGCATGACTTTCCTTCGAAAGAGATTAAGAATACCCAACAAATTCAACTAAACTCCTTGTCTATTTATTTTGGAAAAGAAACATAAAGCTTTTTTTCCTTACCTAAATAGTCACTTTTCCAATAAACATAAATGAATTAAAGATTTTGTCACAGTAATAAAGGGACTCACATCTACCACACAAATAAAAGCGGTAGAAGCTATATATGCCACATCAACATTTAACAGACTAATTAAAGTAACAAAATGACCTATTTCTAGAGTTTGCGAAGTTTAAATACCTATTTTTATATGATTTTACAAGTTGAGGCACCAATTTGAAATGATCTAGTTAACTCGTAGATTCATTCAATTATTTATTTTTCCACAGGAGAAAGCATTTCATTCAATGGATTGGAAGTATAAAAGGAAAAAGAAAAGCACCAGGGCCAAAAGCAGAGAAACATCTTAAAAAAAACAAAAACAAAAAAAAACTCTCTCGCTCTTTGTCTGGAGAGTGACTGCTCTCTCTCCTCCTTTACCATCTAGTTAGCAGCCTATATCTCTGGCCACCCTATAAGGCCATAACCTTTCTCCATGGCATCATTCTCACTCTCAAAGCAGCTAAGCTCTCTGTTCCTAGTAATATCCATGGTGGGTATGCTTGGAACTTTCATCAATATTGTGGGGGTAGATGGAGCAACTTCTTCTTCTTCTTCTTCTTCTTCAACTTGGTGTGTGGCAAGAAGTGATGCTACCACCCAAGCCCTTCAGACAGCCTTAGACTATGCATGCGGGGCTGGTGCTGACTGTTCCCCATTACAATCCACTGGCCTCTGTTATCTTCCAAACACAATCCAAGCTCATGCCTCTTATGCCTTCAACAGTTATTATCAGCGCAAGGCTATGGCTCCTGGCTCTTGTGACTTCTCTGGCACTTCCACCATTGCTCAAACCGATCCCAGTATGTCATTTTTCTTTTTCTTTTTTTGGTAACAATTAAATCATTTATTTATTTATTTTCAAAGAAAATGAACCCATATTTTTAGGTATTGATTTGTTTATTGTTGTTATTTTCTTTGTGTAGGTTATGGATCTTGTGTGTACCCATCTTCTGCAAGGTATGCTGCCCTGGCCTTTCTTTTCAATTTCTTGTTAACAAAAAATTAATTTCTCAAAGACAATTAAGTATTTAGGGTACACGAGTTTCTTCGTGTTTACGCAATTGGGTCTTTCTCTCTTTTCTTCTTTAGTGTTTTTGAGAAACAAAATTATTAGGGAGTTGGTTGATATGATGAATATTGAAGGAGATATTCACTTTCCAGAAACCATTCTCTTTTCTTTTGCCACTTGATAATGAGTTGCTGTAAGGAATCCTCTTCCAAAAGAGAGGGAACCAAAAAAAAAAGCACAAAACAAAACAAAGAGAGATTTGTGCCTCTCTGGTGAAGCTTCTTATGGATGTATGACACGTGTCTTTCTGCATGGGATGCTTTGTGATGGCATCTTAAATCTGACCGTCCAGTACTCCTTGATTTGTTTGCATCTGTCAAATCAAAATCCCCTCTCTCTCCCTCTTCGAAGTATTGGGTTGCTCACTGGTGTTTTGTACTACATACTGGATTTCTTAAAATTATTGTCTGAGTGCATGCTTGGAGTTTGAACTATATATTTGGTTCTGTAACTCACATTTCACCTTAGTTTCCCACCGTTGGATTTGTCGTTAGTACAAATGAAACCAACGGTCAAGATCATACTTGGTTCGCCACCTTTTTTATGGGCAGATGACTGACAGTGACAACTATCATGCACTATTCTGATGATTTCTGAGTCTATCTCATGATGCTGTTGCCAGACCAAGCTCTGAAACTTCTGGGCCCGGTTTGATTTGCATGAACATTAAAATATCATTTTAAATAGCGGAAGGACCAATTCTTTTTCTTTTTACTTTTTTTGTTGGGTCAGAATTTCCTTTGGTACATATGAAAAGGATCAGTTCATTGTGGTATGTTCCACAAATATTCTAGTTTATGAAAATAATGATTCACTTTAAAAATTCCTCGTGCTACTTTTAATACATATATTGATTAAAGTATCTCAGTATTCATAATTTTTCGGATGCCTTGCTTAATCAATACATAATAAGGACAGTCCTCCTACAGTCTTCTTCTCATTTACCCTCCTAATTTTGAAGGTGGGCCCAACCTCAATTAACGGTCAAAAATTCAAACATGTGGGGCAACATTTCAATGTTCTCATTCTGTTCTAGCAGAGCCAAGTTGTGGCCATTTTGATTCCCAGAGAAGTGCTCTTTTGTTCTGGCCAGGGTATTTCAGGCATGGTCTCAAAAGTGTAGGTGTCCTAGCTAGTGGTCCACATAGCAATATGCACTTTTGCTCTTTTTCTATTTGTGCAGCTAATTGGGAAGGTTTGGGAAGGTTTAGCCAAATTTAAGGTCTTTTGCTTGACGCTGAAGTAGACTTAATTTGCAAAGGATTACTAGCGTAGTGGTTTATAGTAATTATTCCCTTAGGTAAGGTTCTGAGTTCGAGTCCTAGCATTTGTATAGTGTGTGTGAGATTAGTATATTATCGCATCTCTCAATAAGAAAGGTCTTAAAAAAAAGGTGGACTTAATTTAAAATGAACAAATTCACTAGAGCATATAGTTATTTGATTACATTCTAGGTTATTATTTAAATCTGCGTTTTTCTCACAAATCACACTCATCCAACGCCAATTAATATGGTGGTAATGCTCACCATGAATCAAGGGTTGATGTTCACGTTAGAGAGAAAGATGTCATTGATAACTCAATTCTCAATAAAAGTAGGTTTTTGAGTATGGGGTGTGGGTTTTGGGCTCAACCTAGTCCTGCATCTTTTATTGCTTTTTCTTTGGTGGAAAAAGTAGTGCTTTATCCGGTGTTCGTATAAATGAATTTGAAGGACTAACAGCTGTGTTATGCAAATTTACAGCACGGCTGGAGGGACACCTACACCAACCACGCCACCAGCTACAGGCATTTTCAGTGCACCAACAACGCCTACGACACCAACATTTGGCGGGGGTAGCGTTACTGGATTCACTCCGGGAATGACCCCAACGATCCCTGACTCTGACGACAACTCAAAAGCATCCCTTGAGTCCATGATCCCAACAATCTTGATGCATGTGTCCTTTATGTTTGTTCTTTCATTTACCCTAAACTAAACCCATGTGGCTCGTTTATTTATTTATATAATTTTATAGTTATAGCAGGAGTAGCATTGCCCTACGTGGAAAAGAGGTTATAGATTTTTTGTTAGAAGTTGGAACCTTCTTTGTCCACTTCCATCTAGCTAAGCCTCTCAATTAATATTGTGCCAAACTTTGTAGCTCTCACAAATTCTATTCAATAATAGTTCAATTTAATTGCTGCAAGTTTCTTTTCTCAGTCTACTAAGCGGTTTCATTTCTTACATTTGAATTCTACTGACAGGACCCGCCCCAGAATTTCCCCTGAACCCGAGGCGGATCCCGTCTTGATGCCGACATCACACTGATGCCGGGCCCACTTACTAAAAATCCAAGACATCCTACCAAAATTTTGGCAGAGTCTCCCCTGTAAAATGCCCAAACCAACAATACTCAACCTGCATAATTTACATCATAATATATTCCAACTGCCAGCATGCTTTTAACATATAACAATCCAACATAAAATGGCCTCCGGCCTCAAGTAGTAGCCTAACATGGGCGATAACAGAGCGTCTACAGAATTTGTTTACAACAAACAGGGGAGTAGAAAGAATTTATACAGACCCTAACAACTGACGACAAGCTTGGAGCTCGTGACTTGCTCGAACGCCTTCAAAAGCAACTACTGTCTGGGGGGCGCAAAACAGAAATATGTGAGTGGACAGAAATAAAGTTTCACTTTAAATCAACATAGTAACCCCACCACGTAAAAATAATGCTCTAGCATGCAGTTTCACAATTCAGAAACCAAAACTCAAAACACATTAACCCAAAGTCCAAAACAACTCCACAACGCATTTCCCCAAATATATGCAACTCTCATCAACCCGTAAATACCCATATATAAATATATATATATATATAGGACTTTACTATAACATACTGCTTCTCTCCATACTAATGTACCGGGGAAACAATCCAACCGGGGGATTGTTAGCTGGTACGTAGGATTTCCGAACACTAACTTGTGTCCAGGGATGAGTAGTCCAACCGGGAGACGGAACTCCATAGCTCACACGCCGGCACTGCCAACGACACGTGTAGCTCACAAATCTCATAACAAGTCCTACGCGCGCAGACAGTATCATCACCCCACCGGCACTGCCAACGACGTGTGTGAT